TTTTGATGCATTTTTGTTGATTGTTGCAGAGGTTGAAAAAGCTAAGGCAAAGAAAAACATTCTTCGTACTTATCTGTGACACCTCACCCGTTTTTTTTGAATTGAGGCTGTGGAGCTCTGCAAGCAGTGGCTTATAAAAGAATAAGTTTTTTGCAATTAAAACTTGGGATAGAAACGCTGTTTTTTTAACACATCCTGACCAAATGATGTTAGGAGTGTAACGAAAAATCGATGCACCATGTGTTGTTTTGTTGTGAATGTTATAGTGTTAATAACCGACATCGCTATGTTATAAACACTATAACATTCACAATAAAAAAGCTGTTATTTGTTGATATCCCAGTATTCAGCGGGAGCGAGAGAAACCAACGAAATAGCCGCTAGTTTATCATAAACTAGTAACGATCTTTGCCTGTGATTTGGAGGGAAGGATATTGATAGGGAGCATTTGCAAAGGGAAACATATCCACCACCACCACAAAATCATCTATTGATCGATCGGTTTGATGCTTTAGAAACACTATCGAATGAACCGGCATCCAAGGCGTCATCACTGAAACGTTTATGTCATAGTCACCACTAGGTAATTGATTGCCAATTTGAATTACCGGGCCGCGATAATAGCCAAAGATAGAACAGATAAAACTCTCGGAGGAGAGCAGAAACTGAAACTTCAAAATAAATCACTAAGATAAATAAAGTCAGCATTTGGAGCGATTTATTCACAAACCACTTCAATTAAGACCAACGGGGGGCTGGGGGTGATTTGATGGGATCTCACTTACTTCACGTTTGAGCTTTTGAATAGTTACAAAAGAAGATGCGTTAGACACATCGTAAACGAGGATAAATGCATCAGCTGAGTTGATAAAATGACGTTCAACTTTGGCCGGATCTCCAATATCATAGATACGAACGCGTTCCCTGGTCCCGCGATCCGTCTCAACGACCGCATTATACGTATCCTCGATAGTTGGGACCTGAGAGGAGGAGTGATAAAGCACGGGAGTAAGGATGAGTTGGATAAAAGCTATAGTTTCGTAATCAGCACGTTATAATTGCTATCGCTAGCTCAGTTTATCAGAGTTCTGGTTTCCTCTAGTTTATCTATCCTTAGTATCAATTCTACGGTTTCTTACTAATTAAATTTCGACTTTTCCCATCATCTTATGGACGCTGATGGCTGAAGAGGATGAAGCTTCAGTGTTTGTTCAGTCATGATTTGAAAGTAAGCATTCGAAAAATCAGTGCAGGATTGATTGATTCGCAGAAAGGGATTCGTGGACGATGACAGATTGCTAAAGAAAGTGACACTGCGGTGGTGGTATACAGAAATGATACTTCGACTGAAGCGCAGCTGACAAAAACTGACACCATCAGACCGTTGATAATGCTTCGTCCGTTCAAACCAGCTTGGATAATACTGAATGAACTGGACGAAAATTGCAACTAAAGCTTGTCGCATGGAGCACTACGTCAATTATTGTTGAGCTAAGTTATCCTTTTTGGGGCGTCGACGGTTTACATTTTTATCTCTACTGATCCACTGACAGAAAAGTGAAGATGCTACGTTCGGGAAGCCGCATAACCTTGTAGGAGCATAAGTCAAACCAAGTCTTTAAGATGCCCAAAATCAATCAGCAGAGGAGACTGGAAAACACAACGCAAAATTTAGAAGGGTATGAACCTGATTGACGTTGCAGTCAAACTCCTCGCAGTACGTGATGAAAAGGTACATCACAGGAGCAGCGCATTTAAGCTGATGGATTCATGTTTCTTGGGCATATTTCACCTATTTGGTTTCCAACTTTTACTCTACTCTTATCTGTGGTGTAGCGGAGCTGAGGCATTTATCAGGAGCCACATCCTGGGAAACAGCTCAACAGGCGGAGCAAACTAGATTAAGGATAAGAGAAAACTAAAACATTCGGTGTACAGCATACAAGGATACCTATTCCTTAATGGGCAGACGAGATCTACTGCCTGGTTTAATAACTACAAAGGACATCGACCAATTACCATGGGTTCGTGCATCGGCAGATAGCGTTCGCGACCAA